CAATACAATCCTGGACCCAATCCTTATCCCGATCCCAGTCCTGGCCCCGATCCTGACCCCGATCTCAATCCAATCCCGGTCCGATCCCGATCCTGTCCCCCATCCCGATCTCGATCCCTTTCCCGGCCCCAATCCCGATCCCAGTCGTGATCCTGATCCCGATCCCGGCTCAGCAAAACGTGGGGAAGAAAAAAGGAAACTTCCAAAATGTTAGTGAGAAAAAATGCCTGGTGTGGGTGGAATAGGTCTGCAGAGAGATTTTGTAATTTTTGTAACTGGGGGCTCGACTGCTCAAGCTCTGAGCACCTGATCTAATTGATTTTTAATTTGGTTCTGAGCCCAAGGTTGCACTGGATGGCATCCAGAGGTGAAGCTTTTCATGAGTTTATATTGATACCTTTTTTTCTTTTTTTTCATCTCTAGAATACAAACCAAACTGTTTTGTAATAACAAGCATAACCTCTGTAGATCATTTCCGTTATTGGGAAAATAAATTTGCTAGAATTGCCTTGTATTGTGGAGCACACAAAAGTCACACCCATATATCAGAAACTGCCTCCCAAATGGGGAGGAAGCCTGGGAGAAGAAGCCATCAGATGAATGTGGGCATGGTCACATAATTGATCAGGGAAATTTTCAGTGCTGAAATTCAGCAAATTCTACATTTCAGCTCTAGAGCTGATGTTTGGACAGAGCACCTTGCTGTGGAGCATGGGCTGAATAGGCATTTTAGGAATTACACAGATTAAATTTCAATAAACTTGCAAGTTTATTACAGATGAGTGTGTGCTTGTGCCCAACTGTATTACAAAAATAAAATTCTGCAGTTCCTCATTTTGCATTTCACTCATTTCATTAGGACTGGCAATGCCTTTCTGCACTTGATTTCCCCAAGGCCTGAAAATGTTTTATCTGTTTTTTTGTCCCTTTATCCTCTTTTTACAACTTCTGTAAGCAAATGAAAGTGTCTGTAATAAACATGAGAATAGGAACCAAGCAAAAGGTTCTTTAAAAATGAAGTTTTTTGTTTCTGACACATATTTCCGTAGGTAGGAGTATCAATTTCCCCAAGCAAAGTCTTGCAGCAAGGGAAAATCACCCTGGGATTGAAGGTAGGAATTAAAAAGAAGCAGATTCAGACTCTGGGAATTAAAAAGAAGCAGATTTAAACTCATCCCTTCTTGGGGATTAGGGACTCAGCACGTTTTTGGAGAGTTTCTCAGAACAAGAACTCAGATTCTTCTCTAGAAATCAGATTGAATTCTGTTACAGATTTTAATAAAAATAACACTTGTTTAGGTTCACACAGTGCTTTCCATTTCAGGATTTAAATTWATGTTTACAGCTTTTTCAGTGACCACCAAGAACCTGGCAGAACTATCGATTTATTTACAAAAAAATATTGCCAAAAAGCAACCTAGTGCTGTTCTGTACCCATTCCTGCTGTGAGAATGGAACACTGCAAAGGTAAAAAGTTGGAGCAGTGAAATTTTGAGTCAGCAGAGGAAAAAAAAGCAGGAAAATGCTCCAAATAATGTTTTCTTGGATTTGTTAYGTTGGTGAAATTCTGTGAGCACCATTATCAATTTCTCTGGCACAGACAGGTGCCTCTCCTATAAACACACTGATATTATCCACAGAAACAGCTTTTACCCCTCAAACAACTGAGTCTGGGGATTTATTTTGATGTCAGATATGCATCATGTTTTTAAGGTAATTTTAAAATCAGTACCAGATGTATAAACTACTTTCAGGAGCTATTTCCACACTGGGTCAACATTACTTGTTCTCTATACTGTAATTCTTCAGTAAGCACATGATTGGATGAAAATTAATAATTTTGTCTTTGTACTTAATAATTAAGCAAATGTGAGTATGTTTTTATAAAATTTTAGTTTATCTTGGCATTTCCTAGTGAAATAATCGGCATTCTGGTTAGAGGAGTTTATGCACTGAAACATTTAAACATTATCACCATGAACATTTAAATTCTAGCTTTTAACTTGTAAACTTTGAACACCTCCTCTGTAGGAGCTTAAATTAGGACAGTAGTCCTCAGCATCCCTGAGAGCAGTGGAAAATGTGCAGAATTCAGGGCCTCCTCTAGAAATGTTCAGAAGCTTATTACTGACACTTTCATTTGCTGACAAAAGCTGTAAAAAGAGGATAAAGGGACAAAAAAAAAGGGATAAAGTAAAACCTTTTCCTTTGGGGAGACAAAGTGCAGAACTGAGTTTKAAGCTTTACAGTGTTTCAGTATTAACATTTGAGGATTAGAAATGCATTTTTAAAGCTCCACCATTTTCATTCATTTTGCTTTCGCGAAGTGCATCACGAAGCGGTCTCACAGCGAGTCTAATGGAGATCTTTTAGAGGTTGGAAAGGGGCCAAAATGTTCCTGAAAAGGCGGGGATGGCCAAGCTCCCCGGTGGCTGCGGGATGCGCTCCTTTCCCACCAGATGGCCCCGGTGGCGCAGGGAGCGCTGCAGGGATGGAATTTTGTATTTCGGATGGATTCTTCAAAGCCGGGTCCGTCACTCCCTCCACACAGCTCCGCTCCGAGAAATCCCCAGCCTCTTGTTATGTTCTCTGCAAGCTCCGTGTCCTCTGACCTTGTTTGTTAACTGGAARACTCGGGAAATATTTTACAGGAAACCACACCTGAAATATTCTCTTGAGCCTTGACCCTGCGTGGTGGGAGGCTTCTCCATTCCTTACCCGAATCTGCTTTCCTCTGCTTCTCTTAYATCCAGTGCCACTGGAATTGCCCGTTCAGTGAAATAAACTGAGAAATGCTCTTAGGAACCTTGCTGTTTAAAATCACAACTATCCCATTTTCCTATTTTAATATTATCTAATAGCTATAAAATGTGGCCACCACAAGTGACTTCCCCTGTATTTTTATTAACAGGTACACTAAGATACTGTGTAAAAGTAAAGTCAGATAAAAATTATTCAGGCAGCTTTATTTTCTTGTTTAGTGGTTTATTTTTACCAGAGGTTTCTGTTGTTACAGTCACCATCATTTTTAGACCAATTTTCAATAATTTTGCTTAGGTTTTGTTGTGTATTAGTACATTTTAGAGTCAGAAAAGGCAATTGTCRTGATCAACAGGACAGACTTCTTGACTCTCAGCAGTCCTTGGGTAAATCTGTTTTTCAGCACCAATAACTGTGGCTGGCTTTTATTTCCTCAGGGATCATCTGAATTACCATCCATTTAGGCCAGAATTGCTGTTGTAAATCACAACAGAAAAAAAAATATAATGGCTGTGAACCTCAGCAATTGTTTGTGAAAGGCCATGGATTAGAGCATGTGTTTCTAAAGCTCTGTACTCCTACAAGATGTATTTTACTACTTGTGCAGGTGTTGCTCCTGCAGTAAAAAAAGTTGTCTGAATTCTGAACTGAATTTTGTTGKTTTTATATGTCTCTCTCTGCATTTTGCCTTTATTTCTCCTGGATTTAAGTTCCCTAACTGCAGTTTTTTCCTGTGTGAAAACCAAAGTCAATCAATCTCTGAACCTTGTGTGATACATTGTAAAGGACTGAATTTAAGTTTATTCCTTTAATACATTTTCCCAATTTATTACCACACAGATACATTAGGGCTTCATTCAATATTGAGTACTTTAAGTGCAACAATTAACGTTCAGGTGTTTAATTCAGAGCAATGACATGGACAGAGGAATAACACTTTGCATTTAGGGTATTCTACCCAAATTCATGAGCAATTTTTCCCACATTACCTAAAGGTTGCATTGTTACTGTGAATCTTGTCATAGTCACTTGGTGAAGAGCAGGTGAAGAACATAATGCTTGGGGATTTTTATTTCCAGAATTTGGGAAAAAAAAAACCCTCTCAGAACTGTTCAGGGAATCTCTGAACCTTGAATGATACACTGAAAAAGACTGAATTTAAGTTTATTCTTTCAGCACATGCCCCAAATTTATTAAAATGCAGATATATTAGGGCTTCATTTCTTATTGAATATTGTAAATACAATTAAACACCAGGTGTTTAATTCAGAGCAATGACATGGACAGAGGAATAACACTTTGCATTTAGGGTATTCTACCCAAAATTCATGGGTGATCTTTCCCACATTACCTAAATGTTGCATTGTTGCTGTGAATCTTGTCTTACTCACTTTATGAAATAGGCACACATGGCACAGAGGGACCCTGAGGAGCTGAAGATCTTTGAAAAAAGAGAATCCAGAATTTCTCTTCCTACCATTAAGCTASCACTTTTTGCTTCTGATGTAATAAGGATATTGCAGAGGACACCCCTGCAACTCATCCCACAAACCCCATAACAGTACTCAGCTGAAGGAGTTGCAGTTCAGAACTTTGTTATTAAATTAAGTCAGCAATTTCAGACTCGAGAAAGCCTCCTGCATGTGGGAAATTCATCAGCAGAACAAAATGAATCAGAGAATGTCCTTTTTCTTTGCAGCCTCAAAGCCAGCGCAGCTTTCAGTTGCAGGCTGTGCTTCAATACCTTCTTGGCATCTTTTCYGACTCAGAGTATCCTATTATTGTGTGTTTCTCCTGAAATATTTGAYAGCATCCACAGCAGGATTTATGAAATGCAATTAAAGGGTAGAAAAGGTGAACATACTTCATGTTTAATCAGCTATATTCTATAAGTTTAGAACAGCAGCATACCCTTCTTGGATGGATGGTGACAGTTTGTTGAGCATGGAAACCCTTTTAGGGTTAGGACATAAAAATTCTGCTTTTTTCAGCAAAGTTAACATTCAGTTAATAATGATATCAAAGGGATACAGTAGGATACACTAAAACTGGACATTTGATAAGAAGTTTGTGATTTGAAGGAAGCTATAAATAAATAATAAGGTATTTTTTTTTAAAACAGTTGTTTTCTTTGTGCAAAGTACCTCCACTTGCAAATCTCAGTTCACAGGCAACGTATCCCTGTGTTTAATGGAGTGAGTTGAAAGAGTAAACTATATTTGGCCAATCACAGAAATGGGATTTCTTGCTTTTCTGTAGCTGAATMATTTATAATCACTGAAGATCTCTATTTGTATCTCCATTTCTGGGATGAAAGAGGTGATCTGGAATAGTGAGAGGTTTTCAGCAGTGTAACAGTTCATCGATTGACCCTGAGTTTTTCAGATTCTTGATCTGAAGTAGCTCTTCAAATATGTTAGAACTATTAAACACATGTTTTTTACTAACGCTTCTTCATAAATTAACTTTGCCAAAGGCTTCTCTTTTAGCTATCCTTAAAAGTGGAACATTTTGTTGGGTTGAACTCCCGAGCTGCATTTGTGAAATGTGAAGGACCCCAGAGCAGCGTCAGTGAATGTGAAGGATCTTTTTGAAAGTCTGCTTGAAGTTATGGTTACAGAGAGGGTACAGGAAGGGRTTTAAGGTGGAGTTCACGTAGCCCAGCCAGATGGTGACCATGTGCAGTTCTGAGACCTGCTTGTGGAATGTTTTCACCATGAAGAGCACAAAGTAGGGGATCCAGCAGAGCATGAAGGCTGCCATTATCACCCCCAGCTGCCTGGCCGCTTTCCTCTCCCTGCTCCCGCGCAGCTGCTGGATGCTMCTTCTGGAATGGCTGTGCAGGCTCTGCCAGGTTTTCCTCAGGAACGTCAGGCCTCTGGAATCCCTCCTGTCAGTGTTTTTCTGAGCTGTTTTAGGGTTGGGGTTGGAGTGCTGAGCACGGGGTGTCYCCTCGGTGAAGGTCTGGCTGTCTGATGTCCCGCTGGAGTCGCTGTCCTGGCAGCTGGGCTCCCCTGTATTCCCAGGGTTTTTTGTGTCACACTTCTCTCCTGCTTTATCCAGGCCGGGCTTGGCCCTGCTGAGAGAGCAACAGCTCCACTTGAGGACCTTCCCATTGCTCAAATCCTTTGAAGACTCATCAGGATCGCTGAAATGCGGCTCTGCCTTCCCTTCCTGGGGCTGAGCAGCGCTTTGCCTGTCTGTGCCGGGGCCGTTCCCATCCAAGYTTTGCTTCTGGAGGCAGATATTGTTCTCCTCCTTCCCCTTGGTCTGATGGCCGAGGTTTTGTTCCAAGGAGGCCCAGGATGATCCGCTGGGGAGCTGCCTGTTCTGGCAGTGTTTCCGAACGGCCCTGAAGATCTTGCAGTAGAACCACAGCATCAGCAGCGAGGGCAGGTAGAAGTTGAAAATGGCCGTCAGCACTTTGAACCAGGTGACCTCAGARAACTCCGTCTCGCACTTGTCTCCTGCCACCGTCCTGCGGCCGTTGTTGGCGAAGACGTGCCAGCCCAGGATGGGGATGAGCCAGGTGAGGGAGAGCAGCCACGCACCCAGGATGAGCAGCGAGGCCCTCATCTTGGTGCGGTAGCGCAGGTAGCGCAGCGGCCGCCGCACCGAGCGGTAGCGATCCACGCACAGGATGAAGAGGTTGAAGATGGAGGCCGTGCTGGCCACGTAGTCCACMGAGAGCCAGAACAAGCAGGCTGCCAGCCCCAGGGGCCAGGAGGGGCTCAGMAGGTAGACGATGTTGAGGGGCATGACGGCCGCGCCCACCATCAGGTCGGCGACSGAGAGGCTCACGATGTACAGGTTGCCCACCGTCTGCAGCTTCTTCTCCGTTTTCACGGCACACAGCACTAAAATGTTCATCACGATGGTGGTCAGGGAGATGCTGCTCAGGAACAGGCCCAGCAGAGCTGAGGGAGCGTTGCTGGAGCTCTCGGTCGTGTTTTTGGACATCTTTTTCACATCCGCATAGAGGGAGAACTGAAGCGGATGTTTAGGCCTTGGGTTGCACTCCTGGATGAAAATGTGTTGGGTTGCTTGGGGATTTTTATTTCCAGACCTAGGGAAAAGAAAAAAAAACATGCTTAGAAATGTTCAGTGAATCTCTCAACCTTGCATGATAGACTGAGAAATTTATTTTATCATTTCCCCAATTTATTACAATACAGATTAATTAGGGCCTCAATTGTTATTGAATACTTTAAATACAGAAATGATGTGGACAGAGGAATAACACTTTGCATTTAGAGTATTCTACTCAAAATTCACGAACAATCTTTCCCCCATTATCTAAATATTGCATTGTTATTGTGAATCTTGCCATATTCACTTTATGAATAGGCACACGTGGCCAGGTGAAGAATATAATGCTTGGGGATTTTTATTTCCAGAGCTAGGGAAAAGAAAAAAAAAAAAACAAACATGCTCAGGAATGTTCAGTGAATCTCTGAACCTTGCGTGATACACCGAAAAAGACTGAATTTAAGTTTATTCCTTTAGAACATTTCCCCAGTTTATTACAATGCAGATATATTAGAGCTTCATTTCTTATTTAATACTTTAAATACAATAAACACTCAGGTGTTTAATTCAGAGAAATCATGTGGAAAGAGGAATAACACTTTGCATTTAGGGTATTCTACTCAAAATTCATGAACAATCTTTCCCCCATTAACTAAATATTGCATTGTTATGAATCTTGTTATATTCACTTTATGAATAGGAGCACATGGTCAGGTGAAGAATATTGTCCCATTACTGTTGTGATAAGATAGTAAAGCTAATTTGTGCTCAGCTTAGAACTGTCCCCCTTAGGGCTTTCCTAAATAAAAAAAATATATTTTACATATAGGCAATTTAAGAAGTGTTTTATGAAACCCTACTAACCAAACCCAAGCAGTTTTTATAGGACTTCATGTATTTCTGACCCTAGAACCTGAAGAAGAAATTTAAATCCTCACAGTTTTAATTCATTCTATCTCATTAAACAACTGATAGTGAACCATAACATAAACTCCATATTGTCAAACTAATTTAAACTGTGTTAGTAAAAAGCATATTAACATATTTTGTACTAAATAGTTTAAACAAGGCAGTTTTTTTACATTATTTACAGTTTTTTCAGTGATTTACAACCTGCATCTGACAGTTTGAGAATACAGCAGTTGGCAGKCAGTGGGCAGTCATTCAAATTATAGTTAATAAGCAATCTCTTCCTRCACAATTTAGGCTTGCTCAGATTTCAAACATTTCAAGATGCCAGGCCTGGTTTAGATCAAATGCAAAATAACAGGATTTTTCAGSATTAATAAACATCTCCTGCTTCCCAGCTGCTAACTTCATGTGTTGATTCACAGTCCAAAATTAGCATGTGCTAAATTGACCAAATTCCACCTCCAGGACACAGAAATGACTGTGAGGGTGACACACTTTTGTGCCACTTGTCTGAGTTAATGTTCTGGTAAATCTCTTAAAGCAATAAGGAAGGAAATGGAGACTGTAAATATATTTGCTCAAAGCATTCCCACAGCTAACACTGAGATATTCAGGGGATATCTCACCCTCATCTCTCTAAACATGGTCAGAGCAATACAATGCACTGGATTGTTCAATCATCAGCATTTCCTACTGAAATTCAGTGATGCAATACTYCCTGTAACTTTATCTCTCTTGTGCCAGTAATCAGGGCTTAAGCTGAAATGATTTTTGCTTCCTTATGAGGTCAAATTCCTCCTTGGCCAGGCTTTTCTGACCCGTGGGTGTTGCAGGGAGAGGAGCTGTGTCCTCGCTGGCAGCAGCATCCTTAGGCAGAGCAGTCAGGAGCACCCTGGGGTGTGCTGTGATCCCAGATTCCTTCAAGGACAGTTCCTCTGTGGTGGCTGCTCACAGGTCACAGAGCCCCCAGGCATCTCCTGAGGATGAGGACAGAAATTACCCCATGGATTTTAAACCAGCATCCCTGGAAAATGCTTCTATCCCACTCTGTGTTGTCTTTCTTTCCATCTCTTTAATTGTGTTTAAGTGTACAGGGCAAAGAGGTGATTGAATTACTTCAAGAACCTGGAATGTCTGATCTTCACCCCCACAGATTTCCATTTAAATGTGTGTAAAATAGAGAGAAGGCAACTTTGAAGTCTTCCACAGGAAAAAAAAAAAAAAACCAACAAAACCAAAACACCAATACCAGCAAAGAAAGGTGTGTGGTTAGACAGCTCCCCTGGGTTGTGCGTGAACTGCATGTGGAATGTACGAAATTCATTTGGGGTTGGGCTGGGTGATCTCCAGAGGTCCCTTCCAACCCTGAAAATYCTGTGATTCTGTGAGTAAAACACAGCAGAGTACAGTGAATAGTGTTGAGTTTCTCCTTAGTGCTGCTGGGGTGGGATGAGGCAGGATTTAGAGAGCAACTCAAAGATCTTGATCTGGAGCGCTGCTCCAAAAGYACCAAGTCCRAGTTTTCCAATGTACATCMCACTTTTATTAAAATGYCTTTTATTAAATKATAAAATCTGATWATTTTTCTGATTTGGAAGACTTTATGCAAGATACAACAAGCCAGGAATTATAAAATGAAATTAAAAATCATTCGAGAAGGCTAAGAACTTGAAAAACTCAGGGTAATGCTCTTGCTCTTTCAAAAATACACATATGAAAAGGCACTCCAGATTATCATAATTCTACTTTACAAAGTAATTTTCATCACCAGGTCATTTGGGTGGCTTGCAGGCTCTCATGGATCTTATCTCCTCTGCTTTTTAGTGAGCTGGCCATGTACTGCTGCATTTTAATGTGAAATTGAGGGACAGGTGAAGGTGATCTGGACAACATCACCTCAGAGCAATCTGAGATCTAAAACCAGCCAGGGTTCATTTGCTCTCCAATCTCCTGACCACTCATTGAGTTTTCTGTCTGGGCTTTTGGTTTGTATTCCTTCAGACACCCCAGACAGATTTAGAAATCAAATATCTTATTTTTTATTATTTTTATTTATTTTTAAGGCATTTTTCTTAGAGTAACTTCTGAAGCTGCATTAGTAGATGAAAACTTCCCCGAGATTCCACATTTTCCCTGTTGAACAAGGTGGGGATTTCACAGCTGTTCTGCACAAATGAAACTTGCAGAGAACCTGCATTTAAGTGCAGAGATGATTTTACTGCTCAGTGTCCCCTCAAACCACTCTGCCCTCACAGCTTCACCCTCTCCTGCCCCCTAAGCTCACATCAAACTGTCCACATTTGCCAATTTTGATGGAATTGGCACATTTTGCCACACAAAATCATGATGAAATGCACTGATCACCTTTTGTGTGCTCTGAGGAAGATTTCAATTCACAAATCCCCTTCTTGACCTTCCTGCCATCACCATCCTCAGTGATGGCATCAAAAATCCTTATCACGGCCACCCTGTGATTTGAAATTGTGGTTCCTTACTCTTCCTCGTGGGATATGTGTCCCTTTCCAGAAGCCAATTCCCTATCTGTAACCCAGTTCCCAGTGAGGAAAGTGATAATAATAAATAAATGGGGTTCAATTACCCTGAAACAAAGTTCACTAAGACAGAAAAGTTAAAAAAAATAAAATAAACAACCAACCCAGCCCAAAACCTTTGGATTGCTTTTTGGAAATTCTAAACTCTGACCTCACYATCAAATGCCTCTTTACTTTCACTGTCTGTGATGAGATTTTTCAACAAGGAGGGCCAKCAATCAGGATTTGTTATTGTGTTCCAGTTCCATGGAATCTGGATCAGCTGGGAGATGCTAAGTGGAGCTTCTTGTCTTGTTAGTGCAGTGTAATCTATTAAACCCTGACTCCAGAGTGAGTTTTCTGGAAGCAGCTGGTGGCACTTCTCTTGTTGATACTTTTTTAAGAAATTACAGAAAAAAAAAAAAAAAATTTCTTGTTCATCAGACGAAGTTCAAGGCAGAAGGCAAGAATTTAATTCAGCTGACCTGTACTCATTATGTTGTACTGAAAGAACTAATTTATTTCCAGTGATTTAAAAAAAATTCTTTAGGTGTTAAAAGTATTCACATGCCAGAGGTTTGATTGATTTCCATTTTAAAACCTCATTTATTTCTCTGTGAGGGAACAATTCCTATTCAATGCCTGCCAATATACAAACAATATTTTTGATAAAAAGAAAATGAAAATATCAGTAAACCTGCCTGCTGTTCCCACTCAAATGATTCAATGTCTCAATCCAGCAAGGACCAGGATTTGGTTTTTATTGCAGAAAAATGCCTTCCACTGTCAAAGCACAGCCTGAATTCCATCTGCCCTCGAGCTGTCTCTCCTGAGCAGGCTGAAGTGAAAAATCCTTAACCTGAAGCTTTAGTGCCTGACAAAATTCTGTCAATCCCACAGGATTGTCCTCTTCCCTTCACACACCCACTGTAAACAAGAGAATTATAAATAAACCTTTTACTGTGAGAACAATCAACCCAGCCTGACTCAGAAACATAAAATTTCATTCCTTGTTTTGTTGTGACTCTTCCCTGGTGTGGAGGAGCTCCYTGAGGACAGCTCTGGACACCTGACTGTCCAGTTTGGCATCAATTGTGTTGCACTCCTTCTGTGGCAGGGAAATCTTTTTGAGGAAATAATGGCTTGGGGAAAAATGAGGCCAGAACTAATGGAGAAGGCTTTTATTCAGTCTAGGAACACGCATTACAAATTGTAAAAATACATTTTAAAACACTTCAGCTGCCATGTTTTGTTTTTTTTTTAAATAATTTCCCCAGTTGCTGTGGAAGTGCCCTAGCCTGTGAATGGTCCCTCACTCTCAGAGCAGTGACCCCCAATGCAAAGCCAGCCCCTGCCCCTTTGTGGAGCAGCTTTATGGCTTGGCTGGGGGTTGCTCTGGGACATTGAAATTATCCTTATTCCTCCAACTTGGATGTGATGTGCTAAGCAGAGCAAACATGAACAACAACCAGATGCAATGCAGAACCTCAAGAGAAGGGGGATTGAAGATTTAAAATAACTTCATGAAGTGTTTCAAGGAGAAAAAAGAACATATTCATGATTATAAGCGTATGATATTCTGAACTTTCCTATGCAGGGATATTTTCAGTCCAGTGATTCTACTGTGCTCCCACTATTTTTTTTAATTGGCATGTTTGGGTATCAGGGTACAGGCTGTCAGAATTACAGACAAATACTTCTGCTTTTGGTTAATTGAGGAAATATTGCACCCAGTTTTGCTAAGTGAGACATAATTCAAAGAGCAAGAAAATGCTTGGGCAGGCTGAAAAATTTGAAAATACAAGTGGAACTTCAGCTTCAGGCTTCCACATGATGCTTGACTCGATTGCCGTTGATATTTTTGAGTTTTTAGCTTTTAGAGAATCCCAATAATTGCTTATTTTAAGTTACCACCTTATTTTAACACTGACACAYTTCTTTGTGGTCATTTAAAAGGACTCTAATAGCAATAAAATAAAGCTTAGCAATCAAAACCAACATAAAAATGAATGAAAATCCAACTTTGCAGGCAGTTCTACTTGTGATACCATAGCAGCAGGGTGGCTTTGCTGATCTTAGACTCTTTCCACCTTGAAATAATAAATACCATGTTGTGCTGCTCAAACATGGGAGGAATTCAGTGCCAGGGTGGGCAGTCCCCTCACAGATAAATGGAGAATTTATTTTGTACAGAGTTACGGATGCACACCGCTGCAGGGGAGCTAACAAACCATCACAGCCTGCCAAAAGGAAAAGATTTCTGAAAAATAGGRAAGCTTCAGATTTCATGGGACAAAAGCAGCTTCACTGTGAAGCAGAGGAAGGTTTGAGGTGTTCATTACTTCAGCTGTGCCTACACAGGGACACTGACTTAAAGCCATTTGATGTGAAAAGCTTAATTTACAACTTGCTTATGGCTTATTATTAATATGGAGAAACAGCTTGGGAAAGAAACATTCTGAAGCAAATCTAATCCAACCCAAGTTTTCAACTTCAGCTCATTCTGACTTTGCATCCTTCCATCCAGGTTTGTGTTTCYATCCTCAGGCACTGCCAAACACATCAAGAAAAATTCAAAACTCAGACTCATTTTAAGGGGTATTTCTTGAGTGAAGACTGACCAGAAATCCTCCTGTGGTGGTTCTTGCTCTCTTTGGTGTAACCAGAGCACCATCACAGCCCTTTTGCCTGAGGCAGAGGAGATTGTTCTGGGGAAAATGTCACTCTGGATATTTGCTGTGTGTTCCTATGTGTCTCTGYTCTGAGTTTTATTTTAATCAAATTGATTATTTGAACTCCCAGCATGACAACAAWTACATTTCCATGGTTCCTCCTTTGTGTCTCCTCTTTGAATCCTCTGCTTCACCTTCCCTGAGCTCTGCCCTGATATTCCCTCAGCCCTTTCCTCTGGGTGAGGAGRGCTTAAGAGCTGGCCTGAGTGATTAATAGCAGGAAAAGTTCAGGAAGTATCGGGAAAAGTTCTTAAACATCCCCTGACATCAAGACAGAATCTTGGCCAGGGAAACACCATTCATTATTTCAGAATTAAAAAAAAAAAAAAGTCTGGAAGCACTTCCTAGCCCAGAGAGCCTTAATTTGCAGGAATAGATCTGCAGGGGTGTAACTGCTCAGCAGAGCCAGGGAATGCAGCAGCTTCCAGGAATACTGGGAACAACTCGGGAAAGGGAAAAACAAACAACTGGAAATTGCAGATACTTAACTGCAAAGAAGGGAGAAGCCCACAAAATTTTCCCCAGCCAGCATTTCCTTAAAAAAAAAAAAAAAAATTAGAAGAGGGAATTCCAGGAGCTGCAAATATGAGTGAAAGCAATCAAGTTACATTGAATATTGCAATCAACTTGAATTTCTTCTCCTTCAATGGATTGTAGATCCATGTCCTTTGGATCAGTGAATAAACTACAGGAACATCCAACAAGCAGCCTAAAAATCTCTTTTAATCTGGTAGCAGTCAGTATCTGTGTGCAGCCAGATCATCCCTGGAATCTGTTCACCCCAACTTGTTCTTTTTCATATTAAAAAAAAATCTAAATGAACTCCATCTGGAGAATCCTCAGTGAAATTGTTTCATCCCAGCCACTCCCAAGATGATACATTTATTTATTTATTGAAGATTGTTGTTACAGATGGTGTGTCCTTGGCAGCTCCAATCCCTGCTGGGGGATGCAGAGCAGGAGCAGAGGGGGTTTTATACTCAGTGTGGGGCAGAAGAGATTTAAATTCCMTCAGTGGCACCTGAGCCAGGACAGTTTGGGAGTGTTGTTTCAGTATCRTTCAAGAAGCYRCTTAATTAAACRATTTTCTAGACACYRCTATATTTACATCCYTTTTTTTCCTAAATAAATATATTATTTTTAAGTTTAGGAGAGCCTTTACCTCAAATACATATCTGCTTTTTATGTCTCTGGCTGGCAATTTTTAAAAACTGTTTTTAATGCTTGGTTTATATGCCATGAATATTAAAAAGAGCTAACAGAAGATGGACACATTCCAAAGAATGTTTTGGCCTTCAAAATGTAAGCTCAGACTTCCACAAAACTCTTCTTCCAGTGGCCCAATTTTTTAGTTTAAGTTCTGCTAAATGTCARTTTTTCCATGACAAAACCCAGTCTYGTTCTTGTGACCCTATTTMCCAAATATGGATTCTTTTTACCCAGAGATTGGGGGAAAAACTCATCTTGATTAGAATCSTAAAGCTTCCAGGCATGGTATCAATTTTCCCTCCTACTCTAAACATTATCAGCATCAATTAATCGATCATCAATGTGATCTCTTAGCAAAACAGGATTAAAATGTTGTTTTATTTAAGTAGTGCTGCGCTGGAAAAGCCTTGTCTTGTTTTCTCCATGACTTGTGTGGACAAAGAGAATTTGCCACAGGTGTGAGCTGTGAAATCACTGCTGCAATAGATGGAAAGTCCTTGGTGCAGTAAATCTGACCCATGAGCTGTCAGATCCCTTACAAAGGAGGGGGATTTCCCAGGAATGTGCTTCCTTTGAAGCTGAGGAGCTGCAGTGGTTCCTTTTCACCAGGGATCTGTTCCGGGATTGGAATCCATCATCCCAACTCACTAAAATGGGACAATTTTCATACAGGACAGTGAAAAATCTTTTAAAGTTTTTTTTTTTTTTTTATTTATTCCACCTTGTGCTAGTGGGAACTGACTCCAACCCTTGACAAACTGTAAAACTTGGTGGGTTTAATCCTTCTACATCAGAAATGCAATTAACTTTWAAAAATATAACTCACCCTGTCATTCAAACATCAAGATCTGATTATTTCCAAGTGACTTGCTAAGTCACTGCTCATGAAAGTAAAAAAGAATGTATGCAAGTAAGAGCTGTTAGTTTTTTCAGTTGATCACTGTGAAAATTCTTTGGGGATTTACAAAAACTTGAATTTACCTCAAGTGAACTTTTGGTGTTTTGAAGCTGTATGAAAACCTCCCTCACAAAAAGGCACAGATTCAAAAATCCWAGTGGGTGTGAGGACTTACTGTCTCCTTTTACTGATAATAGAAGTAAACCCTGTTACTGAAAGATTTGGTTTGGCTCACTTACTCTTTTCTTCATCATTGATCTGGAACAATTAARCATCTGATGAATTTACTATAGTAATATAGTTCCTTCATATTTTAGCAATAACTCATTGAATGTATGAAGTTTTTCCATTGAAGAAATACATTTCTGACTGAAACAAGCTCCTATCTGTCTCCAGGCAGCTTTAATGTTTCTTATGGAATTAAACAGATGGCAAAGGGGCACTGCTGGAGCTCAGGGTCTCTTACAGCTGGACAGCCAGGTGCCTTGCAAACAAACTTTTCTTTTTAAACAAATATCTACAGAAATTTTAATTTTAATGAATATTTATATATTTATATAAACATATAAAATAATATATATTGGAAATACATACATATAAATATCCATATAAATAMTAAAAATATTCATATCCATATTCATATAAATAGACATAKAAATATAAATATATATATAAATATAACCAGCAGATCATCCAAGAATCCTGATTGTTCTCCATCTTCCCTGAAAAGGAAAGCTTGGGAAGGCTACATCAAGAATGGTATAAGGCTGGGAGCAGGTTMTGTCCCAAAATAGAGTCAGAACCCTCAGGATGTGCTGGGTTTGTTTGTGAGAAATGCTGCAAGATCCATATAGAGATTCAGGCATTTACGATTTTTCCTCAGAAGAGCACAATTGTCTTCAGGAGGGGATGAGGGTTAAGTTCAGGCATTATCTTCCTCTATCTTCAGCCAAGCCACTGTTCTCCCTCAGAACAAGGAGCTTGTTTTAACAAGTATTTATGGTTATAGCTGTATGCAGGGATATTTTCAGTGTGGTGATTCTACTGTGCTCCCACTATTTTTTTTTTTTTTTAATTGGCATGTTTGGCTATGAGAGTACAGGCTGTCAGGATTGCAGATAAATGTTTACTTCTGCTTTAAGTTAATTGAGAAAATATTGCACCCAGTTTTCCTAAGTGCAACCTAATTCAAAGAGCAAGAAAATGCTTGGTCAGGCTGAAAAATTTGAAAATACAAGTGGAACTTCAGCTCCAGTCTTCTAGATGCTCTCCCTCAAAACAAGGAGCCAACCCCTCCCTGCCCGCTTTCCCCAACCACGTCTCTTCCCTGGAATCTCTCCCTTAGTCACAAGAAAGACGCTGAAAACAGCAGCACAAACATTGTGTGGGCAGGCAGGCACTCACCCGAGCAGTCTTCATTCAGGCGTGGCCGTTTAGTGCAGCGGGGAATCCGGACTTTCTCCATGTGTTTCCCTTCCCTTCCTTCCCATTTCCATCCGAGCATYCCCTCCGTGCCCTGCTCCGCGCTGTCCTGACCCGCAGCTGCTCCGGGGGCGGGGGACAGACCGGGGAGCCTGGGCACCCTTTGGACGGGTGTCCTTGGGGAGAAAAGCTGCCTGAGCTTCTCGCAGTGCTTTGGTGCGCTTTCGGGCTTTTCTCCAGGTTTTTCTGCCCCTAGGGGAGACTCTGTGACCCGCGCACCCCTTTGCTCTCCGGGCTGGGATGCGCAGGGTAAGGAGCAGTCAAAGTTAATGCTGAGAGAGATTTACCAAAAGCGGAGTGCCAAGGTGGGTTCTGCTCTCCCTTTCCGCCCTCTCGCTGTGCTCCGGTACCGCTGCAGCCTCGGCCGGGACGAGAGAGCTCCGAGGAGCCGCCAAATTCCCTCAGATTCCTCAAATCCCTCCCGCTGCGCCTCGCCCCGGCTCCCTCCTCTCTTTGCCCGCCGCTGTTCACTCACCAGAGCGAGGAGAGTGCGGGGAGCGGCTCCGGCGGCTCCGGCGGCTCGGGCGGGGCCGCCCCTCCCGGGACGCGGTGGGAGGCGACGGGTGCGGTGGGACGGGATGGATCCGATGGGATGGGATGGGATGGATCTGATGAGATGGATGGGATGGGACGGGATGGATCCGATGGGATGGATGCGGTGGGAGGCGATGGGAGGCGATGGGAGGCGATGGGGTGCGATGGGATGCGATGGGATGCGGTGGGATGCGGTGGAAGGCGATGGGATGCGGTGGAAGGCGATGGGATGGCTGAGATGGATGCGATGGCAGGCGATGGGATGGCTGAGATGGATGCGATGGCAGGCGATGGGATGGGGTGCCATGCGATGGGAGGTAACGGGATGCGGTGGGACGGCCGGCCCCGTCCCGCCCCGGGGCTCCGGACGCCGCAGAAGGACCGTCCCCTCTCTCCGGGGCTGCTCTGCCGGGAAGAACCCGGCTCTGCCCGCCCCGCTGGCCGCGGCTGTGCCCTCAATCCCTCCCTCCCTGCGGGGCGGAAAGCACCGGGTGTGACTGCAAACCTGTGGCAATCCGAGCTGGTGCCGCCCGCAGCCTGACGTGCTGCTTCACCTGAGGTAACCCCGGAGCCTGCGGAGGATCAGACACCACATCCCGCTTTGGGATCTCCCAATCCCCGTCAGGCACAGGGCTGGCGCTCTGCTCTGGTAACCAGCACTGGGTCTGAAGCAGCGGCTCGTGGAGTTTCTTTCGGTGGGGCTGCCTTGCACAAGTACTTTAGGACCCAGAAAATCCCAAATATTTAACAAATTATTGCACAGCTTAGCTAAAGTGATGTTTTTATGATGCACGTATGTTCAGTTCATCTGCTCTGCATTAAACATGCACACAGGTTTTGAGGGTTTTTTGCARCTAACTTACTAATTTTCATTCCTTTCTTTAGGATCATGCTTGTTTCCCCCTCACTCGTAAAAATGTTTAGAAATGTGTTGCACAAAGCTCTCCGTGGATTCGAAAGAGTCATTTTGTAATGTAAGTCATGAAGAATTTGTGCAACGATGTTTTTGCAAACAGCATTGTTGGGCACTTAGTAACTTCATTGTCTGTGGAACTGATGAGGAGGAATCGTAAGCTTTGCACAATTCCTCTCCACCATGAGCAAACAGGAAAATACAGGAAATGCCCGTCTTCCTGCCCTCAGCCTGACAGGATGATAACCATTGCCAAAAAGTACAACTGTGTCAGAGAAAAAGTGTGACAGCCATGAACTGCTTCTTTGTGTTAGTAAAGTAACATTTCTGCTCTTGAATCATTACCTGTCTCATTGCAATTGAGATAAAACCAATTCCTTAAGAGATGTTTGCTTTTGTCCTGTCTCTGGGTGTTGGGGATGGACCAGGCTTTGCTCAGTGCTGCTGAGAAATAAAAGAAAAGGCAACAGGCAGGAACTGATGCCTGAGAAATTCCACCTGGTCACGAGGTAGAATTTCTTCTCTGTGAAGTGACCAAGCCCGGAACAGATCGTCCAGAGAGGGTGTGAGGTGTCCCTCCCTGGGGATATTCAGAGGTGTCTGGACACACTGCTGTGCTCTGGGATGGCCCTGCTGGAGCAGGGAGGGGGCACCAGTGACCCACTGGGGTGCCTTCCAGCCTGACCCAGTCTGTGACCCTGTGCTGTGACCCTGGGCTGAGAGGCTTTGCACTGGGAAATCCTGACAGAGATGAAAATTCTGCCAGAAATGAAAATTCTGCCAGTGATGAAAATTCTGCAAGAGGTGAAAAATCTGCCAGAGATGAAAATCCTGCCAGAGATGAAAATTCTGCTGTAGATGAAAAATCTGCCGGAGATGAAAATCCTGCCAGTGATGAAAATTCTGCCGGAGATGAAAAATCTGCCAGAGATGAAGGTCCTTCCCTGCTCGTGCCATTACAGTGACTGAAGAACAACCCCTGTGCTCCCAGGTCATGCCTGCCCCCTGCCCTGCCCCTCAATGAGGTTGAGCTTCACTTCTGCAGCAGTTTCCTGCTCAGTCCCCTGTGCTCCTTTGACCTTGTTTTGTGCAAGTAGGTGAGGCAGGCTCCTGTGGGAGAGCTCTGGCCATCAGGGATGTTTATCACTTTTCRTATAACATCACTTTGTAACTCCTCCGTGTTTATTCTCCTTTGGGCCTCTTCCATCCAGACAGTGTTTTCTGCAAGCATAACYAGAGATTGGGGCCTTAAACCCATGCTGAAGTGCTGCTGAGATGCTCCTGTCTCCCAAAACAGAAGTTTTAAACAAAAACAGGAGTTTTAAATCCTGTCCCCAAACCCAGATAGTCCAAACAGGATTTAACTTCCTTTAAGAGGTCAGGAGCTTTGTGCTCCTGAAGGGAAGAACTGGCTTTTCCATTTATATAGAAAAGACTAAAGTAAATCACAGAATTCTGGGATGGGTCAGGCTGGAAAGGACCCCAGTGTGTCACCAGTGCCACCTTCCTGCTYCARCAGGGCCACCCAGAGCACAGGGCACAGGAATATTGCAGAGAGGGATAATCCTCCACTCCAGCCCCTCTCTGCTCTCTGTTCAGAGCTCTCTATTTCTTCTGAAATCGTGATTTATATTGCCAGGCAGAGTTACAGAAGTTGTCATAACATGGTCTACCAACAAGTTCACAGAGTGCTCACTAATAAGGATTTCCCGAAACACTCATACAAATTTAGCAAGCCGCTCAAGTTTCCCATTAAACATTCCCAACCCAGATGACTTTTGCTGGAGGATTCTTGAGAGATGCTCTTTCAAACAAGCTCTGATGGAATATCAAACAAAGCAGATAGATTAGAGTTCGTGACATGATTTACACCACCATTACGTTTTATTTGGGTAAACTGAGCCACCAGGCTAAAAATAGCACAAGTTTCAGTGTTTGTCAGCTTTTCTTTAACTTTGTTCAAATGTTCATTAAGTGTGTGCATGCCCGCTATTCTTGTTTTTAATGCTGCATGTTAGACTTTGGAGTGCTGCAAGCAATTGTTAAAGCAGATTTTAAATTTAATTTGCAGATTCATCTTTATAATGAATGAAAAAACAAATCCACTTGTGAAGATGAGTAAATCTTTGCAAATTCTTTTCAGTTATGTCAAAAATAGTGGTATGTGATAGCTAAAATATGTGCTGGGGTTGTTTTTCTGTATTGTCTTACCMGTTTTCTTCCATTGATTCTTTTGGATGCAAGCATTCTTCTGKTGCCAGCATGTATTTAATGCAATTATTTATTTAATTTATTAAATTTATGAAWCTTATTTAATTTACTAATTTAATAATGTGCCATGACCTGCTGCTTCCAGTGTACATAAACTATTAAGTTATTGAAACTATTAAATTATTGTGCACAACTTGCCATTTTGGAAGACCACTTAATCTCATTCAAGTCACTTAGCAAATTTTTTTTTTAATTGAGAAGCTGCTGATTGAATTGGCTTTTCCTCTCTCTTATGGTTGTTCCTCTTTCTATATTATTAAAATATTTTATTTTTATATATATATTTATGGGGCTGTTCCTGACTGAGCACAGTAAATGTGGAGCTGTGCACCTGGAGATTCTGGGTCTAGACAATTGAGCCCATTTTGCTTAGTCTCAAATTAAACATCTGCAAAGCCAAAGCTGAGGGGCAAAGCATCATTTTTAGGACATTTTAAACATTTATTCAGCTAAAGAAGGAGGGAGGTGAGTCCCAGCCCACATTTGTGCAGCATCCATGGAATTTATAAAAAYTCATCCCTACGGAGATTGCTGGGTCCGCCCTTATCCCCTCCCCCTCAAGGCTGCAGGAAAATGAGTCAGGTGAGTTAAATTTTGGTCAAGTTTGACTTTGGACAACCTCTGCAGTTTCTTCACCTGTCAGGTGTTATTTTTATCCTCAGCAAGCTGATCAATGTTATATAAATGCTATAAATGCAATTAAATGGCTATAAATTGAAATAAATGCAAGTGCTATATAAATGTGGAGTATTTAACAAAGAACAATTTTTCATTTGCTGCCTTTAATATAAGTCAATTAATGGAGGTATAATGTATATTACAATATTTTGCTAGTCAGGCTCCAATTACATTTTTTATTTGTTTGGGTGGGGTTTTTTTTACAATCTGGTGGGGTTTCTTTTCAACAGTACTGGGTTTTGAGAAACAGAACTCTGGGATGGACATATAAAATTCCCATTATAGTTTCAGCATGTCAGGTTCCTCTGGGAAACCTTTTAAGCGTAAGTGAGTGTCTATCTGCCCATTTGGATGGTCAGTTTTCCAGCTGTAGGTCAAGCACATTCACATGGGAATGTTAACACCAAGTTCCTCAGAATTTAACACAAATTACACTCTCAGGGGTCTGTGATGAGGTAAAATTTCCATCGAAATCTCAAAATAGTCGTCTCCAGGAAGCACATGAGAACTTGGCTTGAGTGACTGAAATTGCCTGATTTTTGTCTTTTAGATGGTGGCAGGCTTTCTCCTGATAAACAGAAAGATTTATTCTGTTTTATAAATGTCTTCAAGGTTTCTTTGTGCTTGCAGTGGGTGATTTGTTCTGGAACAAGATAAAACGGCGTTGTTGGAGAAACTGTGTAGTAAAGATAAACCAGTGGAGATAAGAAACAGCTTTCTACTCCTTCAAAGGGAGTAGAATATTTATTAACCATAA